ATACTAGAATAAAAGCTGTTTTTCGTGACTTCATTATTAAAATAGCTTCTTATAATAAAATAGTACCTTTTCCTACGTCGCGTAGTCGATTGTCTGCAGATCGGGAGTCAGTTGTGTGTGAATTATATGATTTATTAATACAGGCGTGTTATATTGTATAGTCTCCATATTGTTATCATAATGTGTATTTATATTTTTGTACCCGACTGCGGCGAAGCTTAAAGAAGGGTATGAGTGTATGTCAACTCCATATTCCCTCGTTACTCTTAAACGTCTGAACTAATTTTCATAATTTTGCCTTTTTTTTTGTATATGTACTCGTACGTATTGTTTTGAATAGTTAAACTTAATATTTATTTTTATTTATTAGTTAGAGAATTCATAATTAATATTTACATATAAATATTCTTGTTCTATTATAAATTAGCAATAGATCAATGAATTGATGTAATTTTTACCCAACTCTGCTACACTGAAACGTTAAGATAAATTTAACTTCTTTTAATTTTACTTTAAATATTTATTTTGAAATGGATTTTACTATTAAACCACTATACAACAATGTTCTCTATTTACAGACAATAATATAATACGTAGCTGCGTTTTTTGTTGATTATTATTGATAATAAAATTTTATTCAACCGATAGCTATTTACTACTTTCTAGTACTTGAGATTTCATATTAATAAGACTCATTAAAAGAAATTTAATTTAATATTGTTTAATTTATAATTTTGTTTGTGAATCATTATTTGTTTTAAGCCAATTTTAACAAATTGATCAAAAAAGTTAACTAGTTAAAATTTAAAGTTATTTTTTTTTAAGTGAAACAACGAAATAGTCTTAAAAAATAACAATTTGTACGCATTTCCAAATCATCAAATTCAATTAAGTAACGAGAGTTTAGGTCGTAGAAGAGGTTAGGACTAAGATAGAAAACCACACTAAAGACGCCTTTTAATTAAATAAACTCATAATAAGAGCGAAGGTTGACTCGTCGAGATAAAAAGGTGAGATCTTCATTAAAGTTGTTATATAAGTTTATTTCCTAATGAGATATATTTTTGTGTAGAGAATTTAAGTTTAAAACAGATGGTGGCGATTTATTGGTTGGTAAGTTAAAATTGTTATTAATCTTATCTAATATATAAAATTCTCGTGTCACAGTTTTCGTTGCCATACTCCTCCGAAACGGCTTGACCGATTTTGATTAAATTTTTTGTGCTTATCCGGTATCTATGAGAATCGGCCAACATCTATTTTTCATACCCCTAAGTGATAAGGGTGGCCCACATATGGGACGAACCCGAGCGGAGCGAGGGTGAGTCGCTAGTATATATATAAAAATCAATTGCCGTTCGTTAGCCTCGCTAAAACACAAAAACGGCTGGACCGATTTGACTAATTCTTTTTTTTTGTTTTGTTGAGAAAAAACAGCTGGAAAATCGAAAAGTTTAGAATTATTTATTTTATACCCATGTATATTATTATAATATACATAAAGTCTATTTATTCCATATTTACCGTTAAAACGTACCTCGAGATGAATCCAAGCATAGCGGGGGTGAGTCGCTAGTATAATATAAAAATTTTGCAAAAGTGACAGAAAAATTATAACAGAAAAAAATGTAGGACGAAGGAACATATGCGAAACGGGACTGATAAGAAGAAAAATAATTTATAACTATACTCATCTCTACATTTGTCTTTTTGCTGACTTTTATGGTATGTTGGTAATGTTTGAATTTTTTTAGCATAAATACTCCAAGACGATGAAACTTTGGTGAATTATTGTATGTCAGTAAAGTTTAGTAATTTAGTATCACCAATGTACGATAATACTTATCGTGTAAGTAGTTTTATACAATATATAAGACTTATAAGCGCCAATGTAACATATATTTTATCTTTATATACCTACATACTCTTGATTTTGTTATCTATACATATAATAAAATAGTAACAAAATGATATTTGCATATAAAATATTTTTTAAAAACAATGACTGTTACGTATTGTGTACAAAATATATATCTCAAATCAATAATTGTTCAAATTTTTGTCTGTTTATCTCTATGTTTGTTTGTCAAAATATATATATATGTGAATTTCACAGAAAAATTACTGAATGCATTTAATGTAAATTTTGTATATTGATAACTTATTACTACGGTCAATATTTAGGATACCTTTTACAACATGAAAATATTTTATTCCCACGGGAAAACATTATAAATGGTTTTGTTGGGTCATCCTTAGACAAGGCTAACGCTGGCTAACTAAAGATAAGTTCATCAAAAGCATGTATTAGAAAATTGTAGGTCTTAAAAGAAAAGTCCGGGAAAGCATATCTAAGGTACATTCATTAATCAAGCTCCTAAGGTACACTTGCGATTTCTATTTTTATTTATTTAAAACGTACATAGGACGCACCTAAGACAAGCAAGGGTAAGGCGCTAGTATGGATATATGAAAAAAGAATTTGTAGAAGCAATGAATTGAGGTCAGATGTACGCCAGTTAGTGCTAAGTGAGAGTGTGAGGTAGGCTTCATTTACATAAAAGGATTACTGGCATAGTGTAGAAATACGGAGATATGCTTGAACTACAATGGTTAAACACTTTATTGATTGAGTTAGAATATTACACCACTTTAATGTAAATTCTTTTTTAAAGTGAGTATCTTATGTATGTGTGTTTTAATTGGTAATACTGGCTTTTTTAACCGACTTCCCAAAAAACAGGAGGAGGTTCTCAATTCGTCGGAATCTTTTTATTTCTTTTTTTATGTATGTTCACCGATTACTCGAAGACGCCTGAACTGATTTGGAATTTTTTTTTGTTTCAAAGGGTATACTTCCCAGGTAGTCCCATATAAATTTTATCGAAATACAAATTACCTGCTTATTACGTCTACACTAAAAATGAAAAAATATAAACTTAAAAAATAAAATAAAAACCGACTTCCAGGCACAAAAATGAAAAAAATAACTAAACGGAGGTTTTCATTTAGAATAGATACCTAATCAGATATTTTCGATGTTGGTGCCAGCCAACAATATTTTAAGATATGAATATCTAATAGGTAAATATGTATTTCACGTATCGAAATATATTAGGTTTGCTTTGCATCAGCTGGCACCGACTGTGAAAATATCTGATCAGGTATCTATTCTAAATGAAAACCTCCGTTTAGTTATTTTTTACATTTTAGTGCCTGGAAGTCAGTTTTAATTTTTTTTTAAGTTTTTAATTGATGAGTCCCACATAACTTGTATGTGATCTGTATGTATAGGTGGTATGCACGAATTGCATGAAAATGCATTTCCCAACATAGAAAAAAGAAAAAAGAAGAAGAGATGAACAGATGTTCTATGAATAACTTAAGGTGAAAGACGTTCGAATTTTCCTGTGTCGGACGATTGAAGATTTATAATAAAATTCTAAAATACCGGGCCTCGCACCTCTGATATTTTCATGTGCAAATCATTTCTAACATGATTACCACTTGCCTTACGGTGAAGAAAAACATCGTGAGGAAATCTGCATGTCTGAGGGAACCTAACAAGTTATCGAAAGATATGTGATGTCCGCCAATCCGCACTTGGTGCGCACAGCGTGGTGGACTATGGCCTGATCCCCCTCGTATTGAAGGGAGGCCCAGCAGTGGGACGTTAAAAAGGGCTGAATAGATAGATAAATAGAAGATTATAATAGTTCTTACAAGCGTGATTAATAATTCTATATATATTTTTCGATTTCGACTTTCGAATATTTTTCTTTATTAGATATGTGATTCATAATTCCATAAACATTTCTATTGACATTGTAGTTATTAGCCAAATAAAATAACGATAAAATGCGACATATGTGAATTGGGTCTAATATCCAATGCCATTTTACAATCGTTGAAGAATATAAATAAAACATTATTTTGAATTGCTCAATCGTTATACCATAGGCTCATAATATGTTTTTTCCATATTTTTTAAATTTCCAATCTTCAACGCTTCTTGCAAAATGATGTTTTGTTTAAGCCCCAAGAATTTGATTGAATTGATTATTTCAGTACATCGCACACTTCTTTGTCTGTTTTTTTTTTTCATATAACCAGACTGAGCCACAGCAATGCACTGGGCGCATCTACCATCTAGCAGTAAATAAGATTAAGCTATTATAAGAAAAAGAATTGAGTATTCAGTTGAAAATAAAGGTATGGATAAGATTCATATAATTTCTAGTTCTTAGATTTATTTTAGATATTACAACGGTATCATAATTACTATGCCTTTGTTGAAACATTTCTATTCAGATACGAATAACAATAGTGTTTTAATACACATGTATATAATAGCTATATTATTTGGATAATATTATATCACCGTGTAAGCGAATGAACCCATATAAACTTTGAAAGGTATATTTTAATAAAAGATCTTGGCTTATAACACAAAAGATTTGTCCAAAAAAATCGAATAATTCCTGATTTTTTTTGTTGTTGAGTGTTTTTCTTTTGTATTACGATGAACTCAAAGATTTCAAACTTTATTCAAATTTTAACACGTTGTCGGGTCAACAACTGATTATTGAATTTTATTTGAAGAAAGAGACTGCTTTTTGTATAGATAAAGTATTTTTATTAGTGGACATACTATTTTTTCCTAGTTGATTTGTTGGTACTAATTCACAATTCGCAGAAAAGTGAATTAAAGTCAATATTGTAGGATAAATATAAATTTAAAAACATACTTCATCAATAACAAGTAGTCCTAAATATTACACTAGACACAAAAATTTAACTAATATATCCACTTTTAAATTATGATTGGATAAAATTACTATTTTATAAATATGTAGCAACTAACAAGATTAAATATTGAGTAAGGAGATAAGAGAGTCAGGTCTATTAAAAATGTGGATGTTATCAAAAGACATTATTGTTTACTTACTTTTGTTATTAGAAGGTCCTTTGTACGTGTATTTATTTATATTCTTTTAAATATGGTTAACACATCGAAAGTGTGGACTAGGTTTGAGTCAAAACAAAAGGACGGTGTTACAGTTAAACTGCGTACTCAAGATCTTCCTATGGAACGCATGGAGGACGCCTTCGATTTTATGGAATTATATTTTATGAAGGCCGAGGCTTTTCATGTTGCTGCGGGTATTATATTATCCATTATTGAGATAAGATACGAGCTGATTAACTATACTATAAAGCAGTAACTTAGCGAAATCTGTACATGAAATGTTTTTTTAAAAACAATGACTGCAACGTTTTATGTACACAATATAGACCCCAAAACAATAGTTATTAATTTTTTTGTCTATTTGTCTGTTTGTCTGTATGTCTGTTTGTGTGTGCGCGTTTCACGCAAAAAGTAATGTATGGTTTCGAAATTTGGTGTAGTGATAACTTATTACTCGGTTTAAAATTTAGGATACCTTTTACTTCAGGAAAATCTTTCTATCAACAAAACAAAATAACTGGTTTTATCGAATTGTCCTTAGAAACCATCCGCTGGCTAAACCTTAAGATATACATCAAAACAATGTACTATAAAATTGTAGGTCTTAAAAAGGCCTACAGAAAAGTTTCTAGTAGTATTATTATATTTATCTCCTAAAGTATAATCGTAATACCTATTGTTATCATATCATTGTACATTTATTATAATTATTATTGACTATCCTATGTCCTTCCCAGAGTCTCAAACTATCTTCTTACCAAACATCTAAATCGGTTCAGTAGTTTTAGAGCCTATCCGCGATGCAAACAAAAAACAATTTTTTCCTCTTTATAATATTAAAATAGACCAATGTATATATAATATACGTAATGCTACTACTAGAAACAGTATTATTGTTACACATGTATATATAAGTATCTTAATTTTTATTATTTTTCAAGCGTAGATGGAGTACGAAACATAACTATCTCTCTGTCTGAGTTTAGGATATTTTGCGATGATAGCTAATTATGATATATCATTATTATCGTGTCTCAGAAGCGAAATTTCCATAGAATAAAAGATTTCTTATCTTAATGAATTCTCTCGTCGCTCTCATGATGTAAATATTTATATTACATCAAAAGTAAAGGTACTTAATTATATTTAGCATTGACTTTCAGGTTTTCATAGAAATAATGATGCAAGAAAAGAAAAGATAGAAATATTGAAGACAGTTTATCGAGTAAAACAACCTCGAATTATAATCTGTTGTTTGGATGACAATAATCCCAAACCAGCCATTATTGGTTTATCGTCCATGCAATTATCAACAAATTCTGAAAAAGTAAAGGATTTCGTAGGTCAGGTATGAAAATTACACTATTAACTCGCCCTAATTTTGATTGTATGGTTTTTTCATTATATTTTCATATGGTTTTATTTTATGCAATAATAATTACAAAAAAAATAATGATTTACAAAAACAAAATGATGATGAGATATCAAATCGTTTGTATTAGCGAATGATATTATATTTTCTTACTTAGGTATGACTAATTTAATTCTCTTGAGTGTTTTATTAAAAAAGTTGCCTTTGTGCATCCTTAAGGTTCAAGATAACCTAAAACGAAAATAAAATTATGAACAATAGCACAAAGCTTGAATATTTTCAGTTATTTTAGTAATAAATAATGAATAATTATAATAGATTCGTAACTTAAAAGTTATAGGTACTGAGTTACAATCGGTCTTAAATGTTTGTCATATTTTCTTAATCTTCTCCATGCCCATTTCCTAAATTATTTGGGGTGTGTGTGGGGTCGCAGTAAGTATTCCTATTCCACTCTCCCCTATTACTCGTCATTTTATAAATCACATATTTCTTTCGTGTCCTGTCTCACGCAATCTATTCATCTTTTCTTTGGTCTTCCTCTACCTGTCCATACATCTACATTCATTTCCATCACTCTTTTCGTCACATGCATTTCATCCCTCCTCTTCACATGCACATACCAACTTAGACGATTTTCTTTCAACTTAAGGGGCATCCGCTGATAGCAAGTTGTCACTGTGATCTGTCGCTATTTTATCCAACCAGAGTTGATCCGAGGCGCTACGTCTCGGTCAATATCATCATCACCTTGTACGAGAGATTCGAGATACCGAAAGTCAATGGTTATGGGCACTAGACTGGAGAGACCGCCGAAGTTGCAGAACAGGTATTCTGTTTTGCTTCTGCTTACTTTTAAGCCAACACTCTCCAGTCTTTGTCGCCATTCTTCCAATCTGCTCTAAACATCTAGACCATTCTCGGCAGCATATTCATTAAAAAGGAATAATATTTAAAATCAACATAATAAACGAAAATCTCATAGTATTCACAAAAATACACACTCGTTTTAAAAACCTAATATTTAACATTCACCAGTATCATTCAAGGCCGTACATATGTAGTATTAATTCAAATTAGAATCAAAATATTTATATATTTTTTATTTTTCAGTTTCAAATTAAAACAAAGGAATTGCGAGCACTATTTGACCTTATAATATTATTAGATGAATTGGTTGGCGCAAAAGATTTTGAAAAGTACTATTCCGGGAGAGGCATTTCAGTACATCTCGAGTACAGAGGTCTGGGCATCGCAAATGAATTAGTGAAAGTTAGGTATGTTTTCTAAATCACAATGAACTTTATTTCAAGTAACTATCATTGTACTCAGCCCTTTTTAACTTCCCACTACTGGTCACGGGTCTCTCTTCAATACGAGCAGGTTCATGCCATAGTCCACCATGCTGGCCAACTGGACTTTCTACTTTCAAAAACTTGCTAGATTGTCTCAGACATGCAGGTTTCCATACGATGTGTTCCTTCACCATAAGGAAAGTGGTAATCATGCTAGAAATGATTCGCACAGGAAAATATCAGAGGTGCGAGACCCGGGATTTGAGTCCTCTTAACTCGGTTTCCCAAGCGAGCTCGTTACCACTGGGCTAACACTGCCTCTTGTGACTATTATTATTTTAGTTATATTTACCGTGGTAGCAGTTTTTCTTCGTGTAACATGTCTCTATATGAAGTGTAACTAAGAAAACTTTTTTATATAACTATTGTTTGGCCAGTGGTCGAAATTAGAGCATACATTTTTTTATTGATAATACTCAAACTCAAACAGAAAAAAAATTGTAAATTGATTAACAAACAGAGCAGAAAAGATACTGAACTGTTTAGACTTTGCTTACGCATGTCTACATATTGATAAAGTACGGAAAGCGGCTAAATAGTATATGCTACTATAATTCTAGCACTTTCCCAGGATATAAATTGCATTCAGACCGGATCGAGCGGGTACAAAAACGTTTTCTGTATCATCTAACATATTCAAAAAGAAACTGTAAAGATACTCATTCATATAAATCTCGTCTCGAACATTTTAATATGTGACCATTAAAAGAGAGAAGAAAAATAGGAGATTTAACTCTTTTGTGTATAAAGGTTTAATTAATACCCCTGAATTACTAGAACGCTTGCATTTTTCAATACCCCGCTAACAAACTCGATTGCATAATCGCAAAACTTTCCAAAAGAAACCAGATACAAGAACCAATCTCGGTCAACATAGCCCTATCTATAGAATGGTATCCTTAGCAAATGCCCTAAGAAATGATATAGATATTTTCGGTGATTCCGTGTCTTCGTTAAAAAAAAAGTTGTTTAAATATTACTTTAGTAGCATAAAACGAAAGTAGTTAAGTCGGATTGTGCTATAATTTATGTAATCTTTTGTTATAATACATTAATAATTAGATTTAATTTAATTTAGCCTTGTTTAACAGTATATAATATGTTTATTGTTAATACTTAGTTCTGTTCGTATGCATGTGATGTTCACATCTTAGAAGACATCATTTGTCTGATTGTATACTTTAGAATAATTATAATTAAGCTTGTTTATTTCATCTGTGTGTCGGTTTTGTGAACTTATCAATAAATAAATAAATAAATGTTTGTAGATACTGACTGTAATTGGTTTATAACAGAAAAAAACAAATGAAATAACCAATACTTTGCTCTATCTGCAAGGGAAAGTGCTAGAATTATAGTAGCATATACTATTTAGCCTTTTTCCGTACTTTATAAAATAATTAGAATAAATCAATATATAACGGTTAAGACGTTCAGTCAAATGGCCAAAGAAAAAGGTTCTCATAATGTATAGGACTATATTTTCTTATAATTTTTGGTTAGAGATTCAGTCATTTCAAATTTACTTAAAATACTTTTTTATTAATAGAACTCTAATAAAATATTACTAAAATTACAGAAAACTAGTGTGTATCGAAGATGATGTTCCTATGACGTCTGCCTGGATGACTGCAGTTGGAACCCAAAAGGCGGCTGAGAAGAATAATTGGAAGACTTTATTTGAAATAAGTCCGGACGAACTCGGAAGAAAAAGCGGTCTTGATTTTGGAAATAAAATTCCAACATTTAAATTAATGTATACAACGAAAGATTAGTTTTAAATTTTTACGTAATCATCAATCATCAATCGGAATCCGGTATAGAAAAAATATTTCGATAGAACGTCACAGTAAGCTGGAAATTGAAAAAATCTATTTTTCAACGCTTTGAGTCCCCCCATTTATTGGGGGTAGCTGGGCATGTGGGGAAATGTACAAACTTCTATTCCTTATATATCTGCTAACATTTTAAAATTATAAAACTTCAGGTTTTCATTAAAAAAAATTTCTCTTAAAAATAAACGGATTTCGATTTGTCTATAGTACTATCGAATCGAATTTTATCGTTGACATTATAATAAAATTATTTTAAGATGTCACATGGAACCACCTTCATCCACACCTACTAATATTATAAAAATAGTAATGTCTTATCGTTTTACACTTAAACCGTTGAACAGATGTCTATGAAAGGCGAGGACTTAGAAATCATGGGGCAGATTTTATAAAAGGAAATAGTAATGATATCTATGATGGGCATAGACTATCTTTTATATAACTATTAAGAAAAAATTAAAAGTTAAAAAAAGACCTACTATTTGTTTCTTGTATTTACTAGTACTATTGATGTAAATGAGAGAATTTATATAAAGATAGTCAAATGCAAAATATGCTGATATATTATGTTAATGTATTTGCTGTTTAATATTACGATAAAAAATGTTGCCCTAACAAGGGAAAAGCCGAAACGATCGCAGAAGTGTTCTCAGGTCAACGTGATTAATGACTATACTTGGATGAAATATTTCATTAGAACAAAATAAAGGTTTCATTATTTTCTTTTTCAAATATAATTAAATAAGATGTATTTTAAAACTACATATTTTACAGTTATATTTTAATTAAATTTAGGCACAATAAGGAAGACAAACCTACAGATCATATTCTTGCTGTATTTTTTGTTTTTTTTTTGTTTCTACGGGGCTCTAGCTAAAAATATGTAATTGTTTTTTTTGTAATCGGCTCTTATTCATCTTAGTTGAAACAATCTACTTCGTCAAATCACGCAGAATGTAGATCAGATTTTGATTGATAAAATAAAAAAAAAACAGACTTTATGGTAACAAATGCACCTAACTCTAATTCCTGAATGACAAAACAGTGTTTTAGGAGCTAGTATCTTCTAATATCAGACGTACATATTTAATGCTCATACATACATGAAACAGCAACAATAATAAGATAACTCTGCGTGTGCCTGTGCTTGTGTTTGTGCATGTGCGCTTGCGTCTGCGTGTGCATGTAAATAGAATAGAATGCTCAAAAATAGCTATTTAACCAAATTTTTATTTGACATCATTTATTATTAGAACTACCCAAGTCATATTATAATACTTTCACTGAAAACAGAATTATTTAAATCGGTTCACGATAGGCGAAGTTATCGCATAGCGTATATAAAAAACATACACCTATATTGAGTGCATCTCCTTTTTTTGAAGTTAGTCAATTGAAAGTAAAAAATGGGTATGTATACACTTAAAAATGAACTGAAGCGTAAATTACAAATTAATATTTAAATTTAAATACATTTAAATACATTCATGGAATAAAATTGCACTAACTTTTAGTGACACAGATGCTCTTCAGCCGAGGCGTCGATACGCCGTAATTCTTGTTAGACGTCATTCGGTGGGCTATTCCAATATAATTTTACTAAAGAACGACCTTTGTTGTACGCTTACAATTGGTTTTTACTTAATCATATTACTATTATTAATGTGAAAGTTTGTATGGATGTGTATGTTTGTTACTTCTTCAAGCTGAAACGGCTAGAATTGTTTAGATAAAAAATACACAGACCCATAGAATATTGCTGAAATAAAATTTGCCAAATGTTAGCGCTGCCTGTATAAAATACTAGCGAGTCACCCTCGCTTCGCCTAGACAAAAACAAATCTATCCCACGGGAACCGTACATTTTTCCAAATTAAAAAGTAACCTACGTGGTATTACAGACTATAATCTATCTCTGTGCTTAATTGCAGCTAGATCCGTTCAGCTGTTCTGGCGTGAAAGAGTAACAAATATCCATCTATCGTCACAAAGACCCTACAGATGCACCCAAGTGTTGCAAGGATAAGTCACTAATTATTTCTAATAATATAAATGCGTTTTTGCATTTCTTTAACAGAGCAACGTGACAATAAATCAATAGATCAACGTATTGTTTTTTACATATATAATTTTAAAGGTGCCAGAGAGTGACATCCTTTTATTGTTTTAGCTAGTACTAGCTATAAGTTAAAGAAATCTTAAGAATTACCCGCTTACAGAATTAAAAATAACTTTCCTCGTCTACTTAAATGCATTAAAATATGTAAATTGACGCTTTTTACGCTTCCTTGGCGCTTTATGGAATCATTTTTATCGTTGGATATGTTTAATAGCCCAAGTAAGAGGATTATATTACGGATTTTATACTTAACTAGTTCATGCCCTAGCATTATTCGACGAATCTTTGTTTTTCTGTTAGACACTGATTTTGTATGAGATGTCAAAGTACACAAACTTGAGTATGTTGATAACATTAGCAAATTGTTTTTGAGATGAAAATAAATAAAATATTTTTCGTAAATTGTCATATAAGTACCTAATAGTCTTCCGAAATGAAATTGTGAATAGTCTTTAACCGAAAATTATTATGATATAATGCTTTCTTAGATTTACGCGAATATTTGATATTTTAAATAAAAAAATATCTTTTCTCTTTCCTAACTATGATTTATTTTGATTTTTGGTTCCCCTAAACCGTTTGATTCCGCGATTCCATTGAAATTTGCGAAAAAATCCGAAACAATAATTATATTTAAAATATGATAAATAGAAAAAATAATACACAACACTGTTACACTAGATGATAATTTTTACGATCAGTGATTTAATTAACAAGAAATATATCATTCGGTCAGAAAATCTGATGCATTTAAGAATTATTTTGGAATTGTGAAAATGGCTGTTCTGTGTTGAATTTTTACAATTCTTTATTTAAATGTAAAAATATATGTTTGTATAATGTATATAAAATCAGAAATAATATCGATTATCACTTGATTCGGGCAGAAATGAGCTGAAAAGGCAAGATAGAATTGATTCAACGATAAAAAATCGATTTCCATCATAAAAGTCCCCGTAGGCAAAGAATAGATTGCTATTATGAAAATCAAAGTGCGTCACACTCTATTAGATGATTTACTAGCGTTAAGAATTTTATTATTATAGATCGTTTTACTCGTAACGGGCATAAAAATAAAAGTAATTCTATTTGAATGGAAGAATTCACAGCAGGTGTTTTATATGACTTCCTCAAAATCATACAATGATTTATCGCGATATTCTGAATCGTTCTAGTGACTGTGTAAGTGATAAATGTGCGTGGAAAATATTTATGTGCACTTAGAATGCTACTATTGCTTGATATAAATTTAACAAAATGCAAAGAGTACAAATTTGGGTCATTCATTTTATGTCCGAAAATGCAGCTTTGTAGTTACAGTGTAAATTCAAAAAGAAAATTAGATAAGTAAACATTTAACTTCTTCATGAATTGTTCTTTTTACCTTGGTAAGCTGCTATAGGTAATAAAAGTTACACGTGCTGATTTGATTTGTTTGTACATATGTATAGTCTACTATTCTCCTGCTCGTTGCTTTTCTCAGACGGCAGGGACCCCCGGGGTCACTTTTTGCAAGAGACAATGATATGTCCTACGCAAAACCACTAAATACATCACCCACTATGTAATCTTTAAAATATTCCTGTAAAAGCTACAATTATCTAACTATAAATTAATAAGAAATAACTTCATTTTTTTGGAAATTTATTCGCTTGTTCTTTTTAACCGACTTCCCAAAAAAAGAAGGAGGTTCTCAATTCGTCGGAATCTTTTTTTTATGTATGTTCACCGATTACTCGCAGACGCCTGAACCGATTTGGGTTTTTTTTTGTTTCAAAGGAATACTTCCCAGGTGGTCCCATATAAATTTTATTGAAATCGGTCGAGCGGTTTTTAAAAAAATCAACAATAAATATATTTTTTAAATAAATTCTTTAATGAAATATGTTATTAAAAAACTTTCTTCTTACAAATTACCTGCTTATTACGTCTACACTAAAAATGGACATTATTTTAAGATATGAATATCTATTAGGTAAATATGTATTTTACGTATCGAAATATATTAGATTTGTTTTGGATCGGCTGGCACCGACTTCGAAAATATCTGATTAGGTATCTATTCTAAATGAAAACCTCTGTTTAGTTATTTTTTACATTTTAGTGCCTGGAAGTCGGTTTTTATTTTTTGTTAAAAATTTTTATTACCACTTGACATCTTGATATCCTACAACCAATCTATTTGAAATTATTCACTCTTTTTATACAAGGAGACGATCATAAACTACTTTTTACCCAATTCTATTAAGACAAAGTAATTTTTATTTGGGAAATAAAAATCGATATTGTTTATGTTCCTTAACAAGATTTACAAATATCATATAGCTTGTGTGTAGCGATGGCGAGTCACTAGTAAGTAATAAAATAATATTTAGACTCTGCTTTCATAAGTACAGTTATATCAACATATTGAGTGATAGTTAAAAAGAGAATCAAATTTTCACAGTTTTAATCAGCGCGTGTTTGTTTTGTACAGTGTAGCACTTGACATTTTATCTTTTAATCAATACACGGTGACTGTTGACACAGATTTTAGCACCACCGTCATCGCGTACATATTGAAATGAATAGCACTCTAAAACGCTGTTGACAACGGTGTTACTACTTGCTCTCGAGCTTTTTATTATTTCTATTAAACTTGTAGCGATAAAGTTTTTAAATTTATGGCAATTATGTAAACAATGAATAAAGGTAAAAAGTAAAAACTATTCCGATATTATACTTTAGTAATATTATTCACTAAGGTGAAGTTCTAAAACAGCTCACATTTCTAAATTCGATGTCGGTATGAAGCCATAATATCTTAAAAGTGCCTTGT